TGCTTGGCGTGGGCACATCTCGGAGTTTTGCCCGCAGTCCCGCCATCGCCGATTTCCTTCGAGCTACCGGAGTTTCGCGGCTTCCAGGACGATGCCAAGGAATGGGTGGCAACCGTCAACGCTGTCGGAGATCACGCAGCGTGGACGGACCAAAAGAAGTGGGGCATGGCCATAGACCGCCTTCGGAATGCTGCCGCGGCTTGGCATCGATACGAAGGCGTGCGGCAGACGTCCTGGGTGGACTGGAGTGACAAGCTCATAGCTGCTTTTGGACGGAGTCACCATCACCTCTCCACGACCACCCAGTCTTACGCGACCGCTACCGAGAATAGATCCCAGAAGGAGACCACCCTCGCGGCTTCAGCTGTATTTTGCAGCTTCCCGACAGCCAATTTAACCACCTACCCTGGGACGAACAACCCTACAGTGTTGACCCTCACTTCGAAGCGACATCTCCTGATATCACGTCAGTCTGTGGCCGAGTGTGCGGACGTCTGCCACACGCTAAGCGCCGCCTCCTTCAAAGTCACTGTCAACAAAGACCTACCAGAGAAGGTAATACTTCCGGTTAGTGACAGGTCATCTGACAATGAAGGCTCTACTGCACGTGAAACTATAGGAATAAACAGCTTGAGCATGAGTCCGACAAAGGCAGTGCTGCAAGAGCACGCGTTGCCTCTCAAGCTGCAACCTGAACTCGGCTCTCAGATGACTACAAAGACACCCCGACGCCCCTTGCCACACCGCAAGCAACGCAGGCGTCGACGCTCAGTGCAGCAGGTGACGGTGCAGCGTGGACTATTTCCAGCATTTGTAACACGGCTGCGACAGGATGCTCAAACCGACGAGATTAAACCAACGCGGCCACTTTGCAGGAGTCTGTATCTCCTGCTAGCGGCATCTTGTCCAAGTCAACAGCGTTGGCCCCATCGTGGACGACGCCTGCACCGACCATCACGTCACAGCCAGTGTCGTCCTCCGGAATCTCCTTCAACAAACTTCCATGTGAAATATCAGCTTGGCCGAGCCCGGCCACCCCGGAATAGTCAATGCCGCCCACCGGAGACATTGTCGGTAGCCCACGAGGCTCGCAGTCGGGGCCGAGTGTAATGATAATAAATAGTGGGGCTCAGGCAAGGGCGCAGGCTAGGTTAGGGAAGCCGAGGAAGACGAAGTCAGAATAAGAACAGCCGGCCTGCAGCAAAGGCGTTGTCTCTTATTTCTCGTCGTTACAATATATATATATATATATATATATATATATATATATATATATATAACGTTCATTATTTTATTATTTTGAGTGTTTTTATATTTTCCGCTGTACATACCTTTCCATAGGGTAAAACTATGCAATAGCCTGTACTGTCAACAGCAAAAGTTTGCGGGATGGGCAGCGCGGGGCGGGGCGGGGCGGCAAAAAACTGCATTGCTGCGCCAACAGGCGCAGCAATGCAGTTTAGAACCAGCAGCTGCGCGTTATTTAATTGCACCGTTGCTAATCACTGAGGCCGCGTATATACGGTGGCCTCGACACCACACCACGTCACACATGAATGCAGTTTTGCGCCGATCCGCCACGCGCTACACATCCCGCAAACTTTTGCTTTTGACAGTACAATGCCATGTACTGTGCATTCGCTTTTATTGGGTCATTAACGAAATAGATAACACCATCATAGCTGAGCGATAGGTCGAAGTTTTACTCGTTAGTTTTGACTTGACGTGGCTGTGCGGGTAGACTTCTAGACAACTGCCGTTAGAAGTTAGAATAGAAGAGCTAGATTGTTAAATGTGTACCCCATATTCATAAACATAACTTAACCTTATCTTTATGACTTAAGTCAATCTTAGCCATAAGTCCGCCCTTAACGCGTTTCAAAAACCTACCTTGTACTTATCGCGGAACTTTCATCGTACTTAAGTAAGGCTCGGTTAAGGTAGCCTAGGACCTATACCTTAAAGCTTCCTTAAACAACATGGCGGGGGACGACAACTTTGCGTATTCCGTTTATTATGTGTACGACAAAGAGAAAATATTGAACGGCGCAGCGTAGGCGTACACGTCACCACCGCGGCGAGTCCTGAAAGTTCGACGGAACCTGGTTGAGAACTACCTCAAGCTGGAATTTTTGTGCCACCCCCCTCCACGAAAAGTGCTGTGAGCAATCTGCTCGCTGTGATGTTTCTGCAGGAAAATATTCATCCGTGGTTGTGGGTTCGCTCTGCCCCGTTTCGTTCAGCTGCTAATCGCATCGCACTCTTATAGAGTTGGCCCGTTCCTACTTGGAAGCGATAGCCTTGTCAGTGTCTCATAGCCGACCATGTCACGAATATACAGTCGAGCAGGTACCGGCTATGGTTGCAAAAACACTTTTTCCCGTACTGGTTAAACTTCTCGAAGTGGCGCAAACATATTTATAGTTGTTCAGTCGGGTGTTCACTGGTGCACAGTGTGTCGATTGTCGAATTCTATCGCGAGCTGCCTCCATGCTTTTTCGCTTTTTTTAAGGCACACGGCATCCGTCTTGGTTCTTGTTCACAAAATTCGTCCGGATTTAGCCACTTCGTCGGTGAAATTATATCCAGTGCACGATTCCACAATAAATGTAACTTCGTAAAAAAAACTGTAAAATGGCTGAAACTATCAAACAAATGGCAAGGTTCTGTTTGGCGTCTCATACTCCAGTTGCCTGACTTTGGGGTGGTTGTTGCCAGACTGCCGCCAGATTCGGTGGAAAAATTTGCCCCTGTAGTTGTGACTTCTCCATGGGAATTTGGTGTCATCCGCGCTGTATTTCGCGAGTGCGTGAGCTTAGAAGTGTGGCAGTTTAGGCTAGGTGGTATGGCATGACGATAGTTAGAGGGAGATAACGAAACGATGACAATGATACAAGAAGGAGACGAGCGCTACGATCAGCTGTGTTAGCGCTCGTGTCCTTCTTGCCTCTTTGTCGTCATTTTGTTCTCACGCTATAACTATCGGCGTGAGCTACGTTGACCGTTTTAATTGACAGAATGAACGCGAAACGCGCTTTCAAATTAGGGTACGTTGAACTGTCTATCGTAAATGATCAGCATGCAGTGAGAAACATTTTGCCAATTTATTCCTATTTACCCTATTCATTTTTATACTGTAATGTAGAGCTGAGAGACAATAAACAATGAATAATAGGAATTTCGGTCGTTTTTGCTTATTGTGGGCGGGGCCATGCAGGCGACGGCTGCTCGTCGGACGAGATCCCATTTACAGGTACGCGCGAGATGCGCTTAATTCGCTCCAACTGCGGCGATAAAGCAGCCTTCCAGGCGTATATAGCTGCAGCATATCCGACGTACCCCAAATCATCCAGCCTTGGCACGTTTATTCTTTATTTGTACACGAGTCCGAATGATATTTCCTGTGGTGACACAGCTAGGAAGCGTAGCGTCCCCGTCGTGGCGCGTGGACAACGCGGCATGATCAGCTGTGAAAAAAAAAAAAACAGGGGGGGGGGTGCTGCGCACCGCTGGCAGTGACTCTATTTAGTTTCCCCGTCGTCCCTAATACAGTGACGTGATCTCTTAATTGCACAGGTGCGCACACAGCAAGAGAACGCGCCCCGACTTCGGCAACGCACGGTTTATTCCGTTAATTATTTTGCACACACACATTCGCCAACAAGTTCATCACACACGCACTCGCGAAATGCACCGCGGACGACACCAAACCCTCACGGAGAAGCCACAACTACAAATGCAAATTTATTCACCAAATTTGGTGGCAGTCTGGCAACAACCACCCCAAAGTTTGGCAACTGGGGTGTGAGACGCCAAACAGAACATTGCCAAACAAATCTAGCGAAATTTAAAAAAAAAAGTGAAACAGAACAGCAACGCTGAAGCGAGCACGATAACACCATCGAACACAGTAAAAACGCACATGTCAAAATAACGAAAGTGGCCTGAATCAACGGGAGTTTGCAGATTTGTGGCCAGACGAAAAACGTGTATTTCACCAAAAACTGCTGGTGCCTAAACAATCATTGCTACTGTTTATGTTTGGCTGCTTCTGTGCATACTGTTGTTGGTTTCTTGCAGTAAAGGAAAGGCTCGAGGTAATGATTTTTTTAGCAGAAATTTACGTACCCTCGCACGCAGGGGCTATACTTGACGAGTAAAGAACGCCTTTCATAAGGCGTCCTTATGACACGATAGGGAAGGTTTCTGAAACGCACTTTTCTTATGCTTTTCTCATCCTTTCGTAAGTAGCCTTACCACCATAAGTTAAGGACGGTTCATGTATACGGCGGTCTGCAAAGGCAGTGCCATTAGGAGGGGTCCGGCGGCATTCTAAAGTATATGGAATAGTGCATGAAATTCAAGCGCTGTCTCGTAGCGCAATAAAGGAGTTCGTGCTTGGTATAAATGTAACAGGAATGAATGAACCAGACTATGACGAAAAAAGCAGCAACAAACAATGGTGATAAATTCGAAAGCATTTGGTCATCACTATTCTGAAGGATACGACTAACATTTATTTAATTTACTAGAAACCTAACAACTTGTACTATACTTTTGATCACGGCAAACTCTGATATTGATAAAAAGCAAGCTCAAAAAATTCTGCTCTGAAAAACGCTAACTGGTATCAGCTAGACAAGACAGCCTCTCTTATTAGCTTGTTCTTGCAGCGACGCAATGGCCGAGCTGGATGAAATAAGGGTGTAAGGCGCATGATTAGAGGCGTTAAAGGTCATTCTGTGTAAATGTCATGTGCGGGCGATGATGGAAAGGTCACCAAGAGGCCTCATTGCCGAGGCTCTATCGCAATACCTTATAGCCATGCAGATAAGAAGCAGCATAGTTCTAGATAAATTGTATTGAGTCAGGACGTTCAGGAAATACGCACTTGCTTTTGTTAATGGGTCGTGACATCTGGAGGTACCTCGCCACATCTTTTCTGCAATCCTGCCTGCTGATAAACATTATAAAAGAACACGACCTAATCGAATGAAAACACTACATCAAGCCTGACTTTTGCAGCACGCATGAGAACGTCGCAGGTGACGTTTACTAAAGCAGGGGGTAAGTTTCGAAGTATGCTTTTCGTGTTATGGCTTCCTAGCTCTAGGTGCCAGCGACTAAGTTTCTCATTGTCGCTTATCAATTACGTGCTATAGTAGAAACGAGCTTTAAATCAGTCAAATATATGCGAGTTTTGCAGTTTATGTAAGAAATTTTACATCTTTATCGGCCGCAAAATGTTTACAAATGCTCCACTTTCGTACTTTGTCAGATAAATACCACCTGTTTCTCTTCACTGCTAGTATTAGTAAACGGCATAAACGATTTTCGGATGAGGCCACTAGAAAGCATCTTCAAATCAGCGCATGCACCAACCCGAGCTCTTTTACGTTACCTTTTCTCATTCGTGAAAACAGCACTGATTAAAAACTACCTAAAAAAAGTTCAACATATTGTATTTGCTTCAATCATCCACGGGACGGCTTTATGCTCTCTCATAGTAGAGTACCTAGTACTCTAAATCGTTACCCACTTTTTATGAACATAAGTCATGTACTCTAAATCGTTACCCACATTTTATGAACCTAAGCCATATTGAGTATCAAAGCAATGCTTAAGCGTGTAGCCAACGCCCACATGTCAGGTTAAACTACGAGAAGAACGCAGTAATACTGTAGCACATCTGCTGTTGGACCAATAGGCAGTTTATCGCTGGATTTCCGACGTAAAGTTTCATTTTAGTAATAATAGAAAGGATTATTTACTGAAAAGGCTGCATCTTCTGCAAATTTTGTTGTAAAGAATGGATGGATAAATGAAGGACCTTTATTAATATCTAATAGGTCGAGCTAGTACCCTAGCCCGAAGTAAGGTCCGTAGGTTTCATCTGGAAACCTTAGCCCAAAGCGGGCCTCTCCCACTTTGGGACCGAAATACCTAGGTTTCCAGCCGCTTCGCCGGTCCGCTGGACTGCCCATAACCGTTCCTTTAATGTAGAACTGCGTAGAGCTGCATCCCATTGATCTTCAGTATTTCTCTGTGTAACGCGGAGCAACGCCAGAGCGAATGAGCGAGATCTATAGTGTAGTGGCATCTATCGCATTTCATATGAAGATGGAATTCTGGATAAATATTGTTATTTACAGCAGGTTAGGTCAAGTTCTTGTTTGTAGTAGCCTTAGCATCATGACCTGAGCTCTGTTTAGATTGTTATGGTGTGGATGGAGGGGGGAAGACTCTGCGTTCTAGTTAGAGGGTTCGTTAAGGTCATCGTACGAGAGGAGCTGATCCCTGCAATACGACACCTCAGCATTTTCTTGTCTTGAGACTGCATGGTTGACAAGACCTCGTGCAACATTGTGGGCAGATTCGTCGAGGTTCGCGGTACCACCGTTGATTTCTCTCATCTGAACAGGAAACCAAACAATCTTGTGTGATTTGATTACTTTTCTCTTGAGCATTGCCAGAGCCTGTCTCGAGATTACTCCTTTGGCAAATGCTCGGACGACTGCCCCAGACTCACTGTGGATACTCGATCTATTTGGTTGTAAAAATGCCAATGCAATGGCTACTTGCTCGGCAATTTTTGATTCTGTGGTGGAGGTGGAAACCCAGATGACTAGTTCACCTTTACTGCTCAAAAGTACTGTTGTGAAGGCTCGTTTGTTAGACATGAAAGCGACGTCGACAAACGAGTGTTCCTCAGCCTGATTTTTGGCTTTTCCTAACAGGGATTTGGCTTGCCATCTGCTCACATTACAAAGGGTGAACATTCCTTGGAAGAGACAAAACTGTGATGTTGTCCTTCAGATCATTGGCGATATATTTGTGGTTATTATCTATCGCGGTAATTGGTGTACCAATCCACTTGAGGATGTGCCTTCTCGATTGCGTTGTTGAGAGTAATGAACTGGGCTCTTTCTCGTTCCTCGGCTGGTTCCTCTAATATATTGTGGATCCCTAGCTGCATCACTCTTTCAGTTTTGGTGTAAACTGGTATCCGAAGAGCTACCTTGAATACCTTCTTCAGCAATGCGTTGATTTTGTTTCGGATCTCTTTCACTCGTGTATGGCTGCTACGTAGGCAAAGTGACATAGTACAAAGAAGACAACAAATATTACAACGTTGTCTTACCTAAGCCTTTGTTGGTGGTTAGTAACTCTTTCGATGACCCTGATTGTGTTGTAAACTTTCTTATTATTACGATGAATTGTTTGGTTAATAGAGCCTTTGGGTTTATCACCAAGCCCAGGACCCGGATAGAATCCAACCTCAGAATGACACCTCCGCCCATGGCATAAAACTTGATATCATTCTCTTCTGTTGGAAATCATCCTCTGGGTTTGTGGCCTCTTCTTTTAGGACTGTATAGCAGGAATTGCGTTTTCTGCGGGGGTGGGGGCGGGGGTGGCATCGTAGTGCTGTGGAAATGAAATACTTTTCAGTGGAGTTTGCAGCTTCTTGTAATTTTAACGCAACATCGTTGAAGAGCTCGTTTCGCAGAAATTCTGGCGTAGGCACCATTGGTTGTGAGCGAAAAATCATCATTATTGTGTGGCCGAAAAATTCGTGAAAATGCAAATGAAATAAATAATACAAAATCGGCAGCTCCCACGTACCTGGGAATCCACGTCATGCGAAGCATGCGGAAGAAAGGTGACCGTGTTGCATTTTTATTGGGTGACACGCCGTGAAATTACGCTAAATTAATGTACAAATGTCACACACAATCATCTTGAAGAGTTCGAGATGTTAATGTAACTAGTTGTTTGCACTTGCGCAACGATGCCAACTGGAACATGCGTATTAGCAACACCAGAAGCTGATACGAAGCACTGATGCACGCGAGGATGCTTCTCTGGACACTGCTGGATACATCAACTTCAGCGCATGGCAACTAACCACGTCTAACGTTAACCCGACGTGACGGCTGTATAAAAACAGTACATATGTAATGTTTACAAGATTGGGTAGGCGGCCCTGAAACCACTATTACCGTTTCACAAAGATTAGCGTCTATTCCAAAAACAGTTCTGAGACCTGGCATAGCTCTGTGGTAAATGTTTCATTGGCACCCAGAATGCTTGGCTTCGATTCCAGCTGGGACTCGTCGGGTCGACGCTACCAACGTCGAGTATTTCTTAACGATCGCGCGTTAAAATTACCCTTGTGTGGTCTTGTCATTCCTGAGCAGCTGCCAAGTGTCACTCACATGTGGCACATAGCCGCATACCAGTGGCACGTACCCCGCCCGTGGGTATGTGCCACTCTCTGGCGGGAAATGTTGACGACGTACGCGACAGGATGGTGACATTATTCGTGCCTTGACAAGCACGTCGTATTCGTCCGAACCATCCTACCCTCTCATGCTAATTTTGGTTCACGCCAAGTAAATGGGGTGACCACAAGAGCACCCAAACGTAACCGGCTAGATAGATAGATAGTAGATAGATAGATAGATAGATAGATATAGATAGATAGATAGATATATGATAGATAGATAGATAGATAGATAGATAGATAGATAGATAGATAGATAGATAGATAGATAGATAGATAGATAGATAGATAGATAGATAGATAGATAGATAGATAGATAGATAGATAGATAGATAGATAGATAGATAGATAGATAGATAGATAGATAGATAGATAGATAGATAGATAGATATAGATAGATAGATAGATAGATAGATAGATAGATAGATAGATAGATAGATAGATAGATAGATAGATAGATAGATAGATAGATAGATAGATAGATAGATAGATAGATAGATAGATAGATAGATACGCTCAAAGTCGCCGAAGTTTGCTAAGAAATGCTTCGCATTTAAAACTCTGGGTTTGAGGCGGCACCGAACCCAGGTCCCTTGTGTGGCAAACGGTTGTTCTACCCCACAGCCATTCATCTGCTCGTGACTAGAGAAAATGACTTCCTTTGCTCGTAAATGCAGGGGAAGTAACTTTCACGCTTTACAAAGACAGGCGTCCTGCACACATGCTTCACAATACAACATGAAATAGTGGCGAAAAACTGCGTGTTACAAGCCTACGTTGTCATTGGGCATCAGAAAATAGGAATATAAGGACTTCATCGTTTAAAGCCTGCCACCAACTACAAGGGAAGCGCATACATGCGCATACATGCGTATGCAAGGTTGGTTGGAATGTAATGCTCACATTGCAGTATTAGTGTTTCCTCGGCAACGGGACGGCTTTTTGCTCTCCCATGGTAGAATACCAAGTACTCTAAATCGCTCAACCCTTTTTTCTAAACACACTACGAAAGGCACACATGCTACTGCACCCTTAAGACCACGTAGGGGGTGCGTAGCAAGTTCGGAAAAATTTCAAATACTAAGTGTTTGAAGTACGCCCTTGGAGCACTATTGCTATCGCGTTCAACTTTTAAAGGCGAAGGTTAAGGGTGTGGCAATTTTTTCTTTTGTTTCTCCGTCGCTACATCCCGGGCACCATATCGCGACGTCATCTGCGTAAATAGTGTACTGTATGTCATCGATGTCTTCCAGTCACCGGGCGAGGCCTATCACAGAGATATTGAAAAGGGTAGGCGAGATGATCGTTCTTTGGGGTGTTCCTCGGTTATCTAGCTTCCTATTATCTGAAGTTAGGTCCCCAGCCTTGGGCGTTGCCATCCTTCCACTGAGGAATGCTTCGACGGGACTACCCAAACCAAGGTTCGAAGTGACTACCCAAACCAAAGTTCGAAATGGTCTTGAGTGTTATGGACATTATCAAAGGATTTTTCCATGTCTAGTCCCACTATTGATCTCATGTCACTCGTCGAATGTAAAATTTTTATCTATTGTCTATGAAAACAGCAAGTTGGAGGTTCTCGAAACTCTTGCACTAATGCAACACTTTCATGGCCAGGTTGTTGTTGTTTTTTTTGGCAGAATGCTGCGTTGTATCTGAAATGACAATCTAACACAAAATACACCTATCTCAGTTCCCGAAGTAACTGTGCTAGATTAGCGCAAGAAGAACCCAACACCAAATATCACAGTTTAGGACCACGAACCACTCCTCTTGAAGATGAAAAAATTCACGCCTTGCAACTAGTCTCAGGACCCAGTCGTCATGTAATGACACTATTTTTAAGCACAGGAACACACATGGCTTAAAAGAAGGTTACTCATGCGAGACAGAAGCTTCTTTGGAGCTGAGTGCTTTCTTGCGCTCAATAATATCATTAGGACTCAAGGCTTGCCTCATAAGCATTTGTCTGAATTGCATGTCACATTTTCTCCCTATGTTCTTCCCTTTTCACATTTTAGCTGTGAGATTTCTGCTATAAAGTGCTGATTCAAGATGAAAACATGGACGTGTATCGCCGTATTCGTCTGCACCACACTAAGTAAGTCAGGAATTTGGGTATTTTTATGGGATTTGGTCGGCTATTTTATCTAATTCAGTCCACTAGCGGACATTATAGTTCTGCCTGAACACAAATATTTTATTTATTTTTGACGTTACTACGTTGCTTGTAACACCTACGTTTTGAAAATAACATTGATTGTATCCTTTCAAGCTAGTTACTAGCGGGTATGAATAATATTGAAGACGGGCAACACGGTCTGTTGAATGTAGATTGGATTGTATTTTTACTAACTAGCTGTAAATTTCTCAACTCTGACGTAAGTGGGGCCGATAATTTCAACATTTCAAGGGAGTAAATGATTAATCGATTTTATAAGGTTATCTTAGAAGTATTTTTGTATGTGTGTGTGTGTGATGACGAAGTAGTTAGGCACGTACCAAAACTCCCTTGATTCACTCCCGAACATTCACTCGCGCATATATTTGAAATTATGCGAGTCCTGAGGTGTGAGTCAATGAAGGAGCGCTGAGTTGTGCCTAACTACATACCAGATGTTTTTATCAAGCTACGGAAACACGTTACGTAAATACAGCAATACGGAACCAGCTGACGAGTGCGTATGCGCGAATATTGCCGGTGCGGTAAAACATCGGAAATGTTTTCTATATGTTTCCGGGGCTAGCCGCATATTGTGTAAACCTACGCATTTTTTTTTAAAGTCAAGCTAGTCCTACTCAAGACACAACACAATCAGAGAAAAAAAAATGGCGTTGACTGCAGCCACTGTGCCGTGCTCGGCATCGCACTTTACTGCCCCTGGCGAATTATTTTCAAGCAGTGATGATGTAATCTTCACGAGGGTGGTCCTTGAAAGTCGTCCACTGTTATACCCTTTAAGGGGGCATGAGGTGGCGAAAGTTGTGGTAGAAATAACTGGGAATAAGGCTAGCCGAAGGACTTCCGCCTGGTTCCAGTCTGGCGCTAGCTGTAACCATAGAGGTAACCGCCAATGACTGCTTGAATTTGGCTTGGCTTCTAATAAGCTTTTATGATCTCACTGACGCGACGCGAATTATTGTGGCTGACAATGTTGTGTATTCATTGCATATTTAAATTAACGGGAAAAAAATTTTATTTTGTATGTGGCACGCAACTAGCTCACTCTGCTAAACCTTGCTGGCTACCATCATCATCATCGCGTTACCGTATGAATTCAGTGGTTTCTGCAACTAAAACTACTTACGACGTGGTGTACACAAAAAAAAAAAAAAACGTAATAGGTATATGGAAAGGAACCATGCCGAATTTCCATAGCTCGCTAAAAACCTTTATTGACCGTTGAAGAGCTCGTTTCGCACAAATTCCGGCGTTGGCATCAGCGTTGTTGGTTGTGAGCGAAAAACTATCTCGTTCGTGGCCGTAAATCAGTAAGATGCAAAAAGTCAAACAAAAACTTTAAATATTGACTAAATATTATCGAAGGCTTTCTCCATGTCTAGTCTCAGTACTGCGCTCGTGTCGTTCGTCAAATGTAACATTTTTATCTATTGCCTATGAAAACAGCAAGTTTTATCTTCAACATAAAAATAAAAACATTCAAAACTGTCGAGTCCAAGGGAGGATCAAACCCAGGCCGTTTGCATGGCAAGCAGGTGTTCTACCACAGTGACACGCGTTTGCTTGGAAATGCAGTGAAAATAACTTTCGTGCATTACAAACACACACGTCCTGTATTCATGCTCCAAAAGGCCACATATAACATCGCAGTAACATTGCGTTGTAGAACCGTACTTTTCCGTCGGGTGTCAGAACGTGATTATTCTAAGGACCTCGTATAGTTTACGGCCGGTCACCAATAACAAAGAATACTAGCTTTAGTGTCCGTAGCAAGTTCAAAAATAATTTAGGCGCATGATTGCTCGTGGTTTAAAGCATGCTATCCATAACACAGAACGCAGCCATATGCGAAGGCTTCACTTATGTAAGCCACTTTCAGGTTTATCGCTTAAAATGCATAATTTAAAGTACTGCATATTTTAAACTTTTCGATGAACATGATAGAACAAATAGTGTCCAATAAATGGTTGAAGTGCGTACGGGGGTGACGATATCACCGTGTGGGTTTCTCTCGACCTCAATAACTTTTTCATCATCATCGATAGAAGTTATTTTTTGAGCACCTAAATGTAAGCACACTTGCATTCTTTCATATTCCCCAATTCAAATGCAGCCATCGCAGTTCCGAATCAAATCCGGACCCTTGAAATTGGTGTCGTGAAGGCCCATATATTTTCCTTCCAGTCCTGAATGCGTATTTTCAATTTGCAGATTTGGTATGGGCTGTAAACGAAATCGTCTTCCCGAGTGAAAACTGCGAACTTGAGCCAGACCCAGGAATCTGCAGGGGAATGTTGAAGATGTGGTTCTACAACTCCACCTCGTTTAGGTGTGAAACATTTCACTACGGAGGTTGCCTCGGGAATGACAACAAGTTCGAAAGCATAGATGAGTGCAACAAGAAATGCAGAGGTAAGGGGTCCGATTACCAACGCTGAAGCTAATACCGATAAGCTGGAGCACTGCAAGTGACTTTCGAAAGTCCAGGCGGCACTATGAGTGTATTACTTGACCAGCCAAATCCTAAGGCTACGGGTCAAAGAAAGAAATGCATGTTCTGTTTACTTGGAGATTAAGCAGATCTGAAATATTCGTCTTTTTCAGAGTACATCGAGTATTTAAGACAATTTCGCATGGTTTTGGTGTCATTAGCATGGAGATATCCTATAGTTTCGGGCATTGCACGTGACTTAGGGTTGAAGCGCGTGCGCATTTTGCGTCACGTACACGTCTCCTGTTTCAAGATCTCTTGGCAGACTTGCACTTCTTGAAGCGCTGATGCAATAAATCGTAGCCAGTATCGCATTTTGCTTAGACGTCGTAGAGTCGCTGAATTATGTCTTCACTATATTAGTCTTCTAGCAGCGACAATGCACAGGACTGTGTTCAGCTTTTTTTTTTCTATCTCTGTTGGCAAGCCTTCTCATTCCGGCTTAGTAAACGGTGCCACTGCAACTTCTTGGTTATGCAGTTTGATTGTCACAAACCTTCTTGGTTATTACTGCGCATATGGTATCGAATTGAGATAACCTACATGTATAAGAATTTCTGTAGTGTTTCTTCAAGGACACCACATAAGAAGGCTAGCTTAGTATACGTAATTAATAATTAATAATTGATGTTGCAGTAGCTTCAACGTTATCAAGACACTAAAAGTGAGTTTACAGAGAAACACACACTGAAACCGCTGAGCATGTTGAGGCAGCGTAATAACATCAAAAGGAACGTACAACATAAATATGCAAAAAATACACTCGTATGATAGCCATCAATCATGGAGTTTAAAGTGAAATAATGTTAATTAAAACAATAAAACTTTTGTATGGGGAAAAATGTTCAATGAAAACATGTGGTTCATTCGTATTTCAGATCCTGTACTCGGAGTATGTGCGCTGCCCGAGCCCGAGCAAGTTTGCCGCGCTGGATATCGGGGCTACAGATTCAACGCATTGAAGCAACGATGCGAGTCTTACATCTACTGCAACAAAAACTCAAATCATTTCACAACGATAGAAGAGTGCGAAGAACGATGTGGCAGTAAGCTTCCTATTTATTATTATTATTATTTATTTATTTATTTTATTTATTTATTTATTTATTATTTATTTATTTATTTGTTTGTTTGTTTGTTTATTTAGAACTGCGATCCTGCTGCATATGTCCCAGGTGTGAGGAAAGGTGCACACAGAAAAGGAAGACAAAAAATTATTCAGTGCTCGGTGAAAAAAAAAAAAAACTCGAAAGTTCAATTCCTAAGGGACAACAAACTATTTGTAAGCTTCATTACCACGTGAAAACATTCAATGGTTTGGTCATGGAAGCTACGAGTAGGGCAAGGTTCAGCGAACTTATTTGTTCAAGCATTATCGTGTGCATGAACTAACTCGATATGTTTGGTATCACTTGTACTTCCTAGCACCAGAACATAATTTACATTTTAACCTAATCTACAGTTGTAAAGTAGGACTTGCAAAAAGCCACTAGTCGGCAGATTAACGTAGCTAATTTTCTAAAGACATATGTAATTTCACCGCGCCCTTAAATAACGAGAGATCCGTTCCGCGACTACTGGGCATGTGAGAGTCTGCTAGCCCCGTACGCTTCATATCTCAGACCTCTTCAGTGATTTTCCATTTCCCTTACGCAGTACTAAAACCCAAAATGCTTAGATTGTTTGTATTGTGTGAACGATTTAGCGAACAGTTCCTCGTTAGCCTCAACGAAAAATTGTTTGATGAATCGCGACAACCGTCTGGCGTATCCCGATAACTATCTTTGAAACCAAAGAATAATTCATGTACTAATGGTAAAAAAGTGTTTAGACACAAAACCAACCGGGTGTGCATCGCGCACATAACTGAATTGACTGGAGTAATTAAAAATGCTGAAATTCTATTTTCAGATCCTCACTGTCTTCCTAACGTCCTCAGTAAACCTATTCTTGACGTTTACAAGCTATACTATTTTATGGATTGTGGTTGAAAACATTGTATGTTACTTCAGTTCACTTTTTTTTCGTTTTGTTCACAAATGAAAGAAAAAACGCCTCGGGCACTTCACCTTTCTGTTTGTAATTGTTCTGTAACCATAATGTGGACTCATTATAAATCCATGTTTACACAGCTTCCTTGTGGTCTTTGATAGATTAATGCTGCCACCAACCCGATTGATTGATTGATCGATTGATATGTGGGGTTTAACATCCCAAAACCACTATATGAATATGAGAGACGCCGTAGTGGAGGGCTCCGGAAATTTTGACCACCTGGGGTTCTTTAACGTGCACCGAAATCTGAGCACACAGGCCTACAACATTTCCGCCTCCATCAGAAATGCAGCCGCCTTAGCCGAGATTCGAACCCGCAACCTGCGGGTCAGCAGCCGAGTACCTTAGCCACTAGACCACCGCGGCGGGGCTACCTACCCGAGGCCATAATTGTAGTGAATACATCCGTGCATCCTTCGGTATCACGAGAGGACGCAAGCATTTTTGTGGCCTCCGTACAAAATGCGGTTTTGTTAGGGCTGGGCATCTGAGACGTGCATATGGAAATCTGACGTGATCGTGGCCACCAATCGATCAGACGGTCACAGGTGGCCTTCATGGTGAAAGAAAAACAACTGACCCCTGTGATCGAAAACTGACTATTTTTAGTGTGCATATCAAAGCGTAACAACACTAAGTTGCCTACGAAGACGTTTCCATAACTGGTTGAAAACAATGCGTGAGAATATAACGAAAGCGCAGCTGCTTCGACTATAATAGTCAACATTAGTACAGCTTGTGGTTTCAAAACATTTATTTTTCATAGAAAAAAAAAACACCACATCAACGCTGAATACTAAGAAGGACTTTTTCGCGAAACGTTTTAGCCGGTGATGGTTCAACGTCTCGACTGTTTCGTCGTGAGATGATTTCATCCGCGTTCCACCCAAGGTTACATTTTCCCCAATATCTCCTCTATGCCATTTTAAAGGGATACGATACATACGCGCAGAAGTACTTGCTGTTAGGCTAGTCGGTTCATACCTGTATAAAAAAGAAGATAAAAAGTCCCCACTTGGCACAAAATGAAAAAAAAAGGGGGGGGGGCGTGGAAGAGAAACAACATGGGCGCTCCCGTTGCTCTTTTTCCACCCATTTTCTCGTTTTTAGCTAAGGAACCGTAGTTGTGGGTCAATACGTCTACATAGGCTGTCAAAACCAGGTATTATCTAAATGTAAAACATCGCTTAAAAATACGGCAACTAGTTTTTTTCTTGCCTAAACACTCAATTTGCCACTCTTCTAAACACAGCGTAACAACAGGGGGAATCAGACACGTGGAAGACGAACGGACGCGCCATCTTTACAGCAAGTCATGGAAGCAACGTCAACAATGACTCCATATGCAGCCTCGTCAGAATAATCGATTCTGATCGTAATGCGCCTACGCTCAAACTAAGACGTCGTGTTGGTTTATGCGAGAACTATTGGCTCATATCATATTCAAGCTGTTCGTAAAACGATGCGTTCATTAAGGATTCTTGCGAGGCCTCATTGGAGCTAACACAAGTAGTTCTCAGCACTAGAACATTAACACGGTTGTGCTGCATGTCGAATGCCGTTTCGTTGGACACTCGCACACTTTTCGTGTCTCGCTTATAACCAATGGTTAAGAGTCTGTGGCTGCTCTGCATGGTTCACGATGAAAAAAAAAAACGCTATAAGTCACCACAACTGACTTAACCAGACATTCATCTTGAAATCCAAAGACTAATTCATGCAATGCGAAACTATCCTTTACATCAAAACTTGTGCAATGAGCCCATTACGCAAATCACATCAGCTGCGAACAGGTGGTGCGAAGACTTGGAAAGATGGCAAAGCTAATGACGTGGACGTCTTCCTTTCTCTTCTTCTCACCCTTACTTCGCGCCTCCTCCCCTTGATATACTGTACTCAACAAGACTAAGCTATACTGTACTAAACAAGTCTAAGCTATGACTTACTTCTTTTCGCAGCCATAAGAGTTACTGCATGCCACGCCGGACAGATAAGGTGCAAGTGTTTGCGGGAGCGAAGCACTATACGAACAATAGTGTGGAAAAAGTTCATACTTGTTCATGCGAACGGTAACGCAAAGCATAACAGTTCTACTGCAACTCATCTTGAACGAATACTAGCGCGATAAAAACGAGGACGAGAAATGAAAGACAGAGTACAGGGCTGTTCCGCATCCTCGTTCTTGTTCCGCTAGTGTTTGTTCAAGGTGGAAGCACACCATCTCGCCTAGTAACATGCAATTGTTACATTCATTGTAACATTCATTGTAACATTCAATTGCAACATTCATTGTAACATTCATTGTAACATTCATTGTAACATTATATTGTAACTTTCAATCTATTGTAACATTCTATTGTAACATTCAATTTTCATCTCACCTCCACTATTACTTTCATTCCCCTTTCCACCTTCTCCAGTGATGGGTAGCCTACCGGGCTCAGCCCTGGCCAACCTCCCCTCCTTTCTCCTTACTCCCTCTTTCTCTCTTGTGTCCACACAATACAGCTATTCCTCATAAACCCTAAGGTACTTTACTATACCTCTCATGAATAACTTCACCTACGTTCACATATTACAGCGGTACGGTGCGATGCATCCAATGCACTATAGCAGTACGCAACCTGAATTTATCTTCCTTCTTCGTAGAGTTTGCACAAGATCCATGCTTTCTGCCGAAGCACGCTGGCCGCAACTGCACCACGGATGCTCGCATGCAAAACTACTGGTTCAACAGTGAATCAAAATCGTGTGAACTCTTCGACTACAACGGATGCGGAGGAAACGGAAATAACTTTGTCGAAGAATCGGAGTGCTGGAGCACTTGCGGCAGTAAGTTTCCCAATGATGCGCGCTGCGCACTTTGGTTGCGCTCACTTAAATATGCATGTTTTTTTTTTTCATAAACGTTAGTCACTGTAAAAGAGAGTGCCATATAAACTTCAAATCATCATTAAAGAGCTAAGGTGTTATCATCTCGCATGCAGCAGAAGTCACTTTGCAAACAGCGCTAAAAATTATGTCACAGCACAGTACATCTTCCCGTATTACTGGTGTACCTTAGCTGAAATCGTCAGCCATCATTACCTAATGTATTTGTACGTACTCGAGTACTTCCGCGCATAGTTTGCTTTGTGCACTCTCTTTCCACTCGAACCCGGGAAGTTTCAGCGGAACGACTGAAGTTGAGTACGAAGTACTCGAAATCGTTAAACATTTTTTAAACGCAGCCTTACACGTATTGCGCTCTTCTTCGTGAACGTTTGAGGCCCACGGAACGAATTTATGCTCTCCCATAGTAGAGTACTGCGTACTCTAAATCGTCAACACCTTTTTTCTAAACACAGTCCCAAAATTAATATTTCTAGTGAACTTATTTCAAACGTTTTTATTGGCCTTTTGAGTGGATAAAAAAACAGGCAAAAATTTATTTCTGGTGGACAATAAAAAACTGGCAATTTTCGGCTGTCCCAAACAAAACGCTTCGGTCTTAGCAGGTGTGGAAGATTACAAAGCGGTTGCTGTTCCCTGGAAGGAGGAAAACTCCGCATTTTGACAAATTCACTCGAGAGTTACCTCGAAACTTTAGATTTTCTGCAATTTCTAAATTTGCCCAAGTTTTGGGTGTTCGGGGAAATGTCCTGGCAAGTCATATCTCTCGTTTTTGAGGCTAACAGAGTGAACTTACATCTCTGTCGGCCAGTCAGCCTTCCTTCTCTTTTGCTTCCTCCTCATTCACGTTGCCTAGCTGTTAGGCACACCAGTTGGCGTTTGAAGTGAAGATGTTCCAATATTCGTGTTTAACTCTGACTTGGTTTCGAGACCCATTGATTTTTCTGATATTACACCCTGCCATTACAAGAGGCTGCATCAAAAAAAAAAAATGTGCCAAAGTATGGAGATTCATATTACTTGTACGCAAATAAATGGGGTAACAGAACACAAAGTGGCCCATCAGGTCGACCCCGGTGATGAACTTTGTGCACTTGGCAATGAAGTCTAGTAATTCACCTTCACCTACTGCTTTCCGTCGTTCGACCACCTGTCACTAGAAATTTCTGGCCCAATGCAGTCGGTGTTTGCAAGATTCACACGTCTTTCTGTGTGACAGCGCGTACACTAGTAAGAAAAATGAAAGCGTGAACTCCCTCTTCCTGCACTTTATCGGACCCCTTCTCCAGGGCGTCACGTCATTTTAGGCAACAATAAAGGTGAAAGTTGGATAGTTTGGCGATAGTTCAGGTTTACGTGTAAAGCAGCGGAGGGAGACAAGGCACAAACGTCACGGGATGGTTTTTCTGCCGTTTAGTTCCTGTTGCGCCTTGTTTCCGTGCGACGCTTCACTGGTAAACATTTCAGGCATCTGGTTTCAGGTATCTGGTTCACGAAAACACCAACGAATTGATTGATTGATTTGTAGGGTTTAACGTCCCAAACCGATCATTTGCTTATGAGAGACGCCGTAGTGGAGGGCTCCGGATAAATCGCCAACAAATGCTGATCGAATTACACCGATCTATTTCACATTTCCACAGTTGTACCTTAATGCTGCAAAAGTACACGGAATAGCACTCGTGGCAACCTAATTCTTCGATAACCGTAACATCAGCTTTACAGGCCCTGTCTATATAGTAATGTTGCATGATTCGGATTACAAAAGGCAAAAATTATATAAACGCATTTGTAAGTTCTATGAGCGTACATGAGAAATGCGACCAAGACATCTAGCCTACTTTCATATATATACTTGAATTCTCCACGCTTGTCATTACAGAATACGTAGAGAACAACTGTGCATATCCAATTAAATCCGGATACTCGTGCGCAAGCGGATCAAAAGAGGTTGTGTTTGGATATAACACCCAAACCAGGAGATGCGAGAGATTCGTTTACTCCGGCTGCGGTGGCTACCCGAACAGGTTCCAAAGCGCTAGCGAGTGCTGGAAGACGTGTGGACGTGAGTACAAGCCTGTTTTGACGTCTAACAGAAGTGAATATCCGTACGTTTTCATTCAGGAGAAACGGAAAATTCAGGAGAAAGAATAGGCAGGGAGTTATTTGGCTGAGTAGAGCTCCATAAGGTCAATTGTTGTGAGGTTCTTTGTTTTTGTAGCGGACTGAAACCTAGCAGTACTGCTTTTTATCTTGTGCTTTGCATGTTACAGAAAATCAATATAGAGAATTAAAGAGAGAAAACAAGGAATTTCTATTAACAGAGAAGCAAATAAATAGAAATGAACAGAGGAATAAATACAAGGACCAACACAGGGAAGGCTGAACAAGAAAAAAAGGAGATCAAAGAAATGAAACGAAAGAAAAAAAAAAGCCTACCCAGCTCTGCAGTTCCTTCACGTTTGGCGCCACTAGTCTGAAGCTGCCGGAATGCTTTATTTGGGTTCGTGAAAAAATATTTTAAATTCGCAAGAACTATTTTCGGATATAATATTCACGTGCTTCGTCTTTTTCAAATCCTTAAAATGTTTGGTAAGTGCAGTGCAAGAAAATGACAGGAAGTGAAAGTGAAAACTATTCGAATGACCACCAATTTTACATTTTCCCGCCTCTTGTCTTTAGTGAATTCCGGAAGCAAGTGCACGGAGCCAGGACCTAAAAACAGCCTAGGACTCGTGAAGAAATACTACTACGATATACAAACGGACAGCTGCAAGAGTTCGCGATACTCGCCCTTTTCTGGCAAAAAGAATCGATTCGACACATTGATCGACTGCGAGAACGAATGCAAGGGTAAGGAAAAATCGTGAAACTAAAGAACATTAAAAAAAATATTCTCGCGATCAGCATCACTTTTCATCTACATTATCGCCGTGGCCTACCGAATCCCGCAAAATGCTGTCTGAATTCTTAAAATTGACTGCTCCGCACTGAAGCTGGGCTATGTCACCCTACAAATATGTTAACCTAGGCTATATTCAGCATGCAATAAATATCCAATAAGCACTTTCTGTAAACTTGAGATCGTCCATATCGGCTCGTAAAACATTCATCATCATCATCATCATCATCATCATCATCATCATAATCCTGACTACGTAGAGCATTCAGTTTATAGTTAATAACACTAAAGCTATTAAGTAGATGATCCGCCAAAACGAGCATGCTGTTTTACTTATATGTGTATACATTAGTGCCAGCGCAGTAGCTGACAATGAAATGAAATTTTTGTTTCATTTGATGACACAAGTAGCGGAAGCAAGAATTGCTAGCAGTATTATACCGGGAATGCGAGTCGCATTAGGATAGCACTATGTACAAATACTACCACATCAAGACACACACGTGATATCAGAACCCTTACAAGTGAGCCGGGCAATCAAGATTAGCCAAGCGTAAAACTCGGCAGCATATTTGTTGAAAATGAATACTTCACGGATGGGTTGCGTTCTGGTAATCAGCCCAATCACTTGAGCGGCATACTCGTGTAATCTGGATAGCATCTTGTGCCGTGTACTTCGCGAACAGATGCTGGGCACATCACAGAATCGTACGAGGCTAATTCACATCGACAAGTAAGTAAGCACACACATGCGATAAATTGGTTAGCGCCTGTTAGCTTGTAGTGTCTACTCTCTTTCTCCACTATAACCACGCGAAACAATTCTGTGGCACATTGTGTGTTCACGAGGCCAAACACAAACCATTGTTACTGTAACAGCGTTTATCCGTAGACCTACAAGACATAAAATATCACAGCGACTACAGCATGTTCTCACATCCCATTTCTCCTGGCTTGTTGTGCAATAATAAACTCACGGTGGAAAATAATAATCGCTAGTCTGCCCAAGTGCTTCAAGTGACATTTGAATCATGCAATTCGATGTGAAACCTTTACGCAGTGTATGGAATGCAAATGGTACGGGATTGTAGACATTATATTAACAAGGCATATGAACATTGTATTTCTTTGCTGCCTGCTGGCAATAAAAGCGAGAATTCAAAAATGCATTTTTTTTCCTTCTAGGTAACTTCACCTACATCAGCGAAATCATCTGAGATGACAGCACATCGAGCATGCAGAGCGATGGCCTAGCTTGGCAAAATGCTCCAATTTTTTTGTTATGTATGTGGTAACGCACAACTAAACATATTTCACGAGGTCACAAATCAAGAAGACAAAAAAAATGTAACTCGTCTCCTCCACAATTCCAGACTTTGAAGAGCTTCCATTCACATGCGCATTATGTCAAGTTACCTATAATAAACAATGAAAATATTTTTTCTACCTATTTGTGCGTCTTTATAACGTATCATTGAAGAGGCCGAAGAAAATCTGACGCTTGATTTGATTCATTGGCTCTGAGAATTCACTCTTCACATTTCAACGGAAAGCTTACCTTCTAAACGACTGGTGTATCATTCATCCGAATGATTATAACAGCGAGTTCAAAGAATATATACGTATAAAGTACTATTTTAAAAAAAGCCATCACAAGAAAATTACATGGTAGTGGAAAGTTGATAGCGGTAAGCATGTGTCCCTTACCTTCTACACTCTTTTTTCTTATTCGTTCCTGCTCTACTTTTTCCTGCGATACCAAACTTCCACAATTTTAGTTACAATGACATCCGCAGTGTTATCTTTGCATTCTTACAACAAAGACCCCTTCAAGGCGAACGGCCATGAGCTTGCACTCAGGGTCTGGGAATGGTACAAAAAGCAGGCCTATGTGGCCTCCAAGACACCACAAATGCCCAGGTCGAGGGTACTGGTACTAAAGGTGAGATAATACGGTAAACGGAGACACTCTTCTTAAGCGGACATCTTATTAACAGGATTTTATGGGTGCGTCCCACGTGAATTAAACGTGCTGGCATGCGTACGAATGTGGCCATCGAAGTTGCACCGGTCCCGTGCTTATTGTCGCCCCGATGCCTTGGGGCATGCGTTCTTCCCCTAGCGGAGAAGTCGGGAAACAGCCATTTATCCTAGGAGGCTCTCGTTCTGGCAACATCGCTTGTCCCTGCCCCTACCAAAGCACCTGGATGAAGGTTTCATACTCGGCTTACCCCCGTATTTAAGAACGTCCCTTCACGCAACGCTTCACCTTCACTTGAGAAAGCCGATGGGAGCGCCGTCTCTAGCGACGACAAGTCACTGCCTATCAGCGATAATCTGCTGCGATTCCTGAGTTGCGCAACGCCATTTTAAGCCGAGCGGCGGCGCAGTGCTTAACCCTGTCAAGTGAAGAGTGAAGGTCGAGTCGAGGAGCGTTTGTGCATACGGGGGTTAGATTAAGAAAACCGAAGGAGTCATGCCGCACTGCTGGAGACGCTCTAGGTGCCGACCAGTGCGGACGCGCAAAGATCGGCTCCTGCTCTCAAGAATGTTTTCCTGTGGTATTCACGAATTTGTCGCCGAGTTTTCAGTCCCATCGTGTGCATAACTTCTCAAGAAATCAGCAGATACCACCTTTGTGCTGGTGAGTAGACTTTTAAACCGTTTTGGGACATATTTACACGGCGACGCCACCGGGAGATTTAAGCCTAACCAAGGAGGTGATTGTCGCCGATGCGCCGACCCGGCGCCAACGTGACTCAACGCTCTGCGCGTTCCAGGATTTGCAACTGAGAATGGAATACCAAGTAGATGGAGAGGACTTCTCTTGAGAGGATTGCACGCAAGACATGGGTTGGAAGGAAGCCGAAACGAGACGCTCAAGGAATAAGCAAGCCGCGGTTAACGTTCCTGCTGCCAAGGGTTCGACCAAGGCTGGCGTTGCGGGAGACGCTCGAGCCAGTCGTAGTAGGTATGATACCAAGCATACAATCGTGTGAGCTGGACGCATGCCGCCACTACCCAAGGACTTCAGCAAAATTGTGCTACGACCACGTGGAGGATTAAATATCTCGAGACCTGGTACTGGAGCCGTGGCAGACGCGATAGTACTAGCGGCCGGCATCAAAGAGGAGGAGGCCATGCAGGACATCATCTGTTCCAACTTGCAGCAGAACATTATGGTGGCAAGCACTCCGGACCAAGACAGAGCTTCAAGATACCTCAAGGTCAAGCAAATTGACATTGGAGGCAAAGGTTTCGAGGTTAGCGCGTACGCCACGGCACCCCACGATACTTGTAAAGGAGTGATTCGCGGGTTCCCCGTAAGCGATACTAAGGACATTTTGGCCCGAAAGATTGTGAACGCGAACAACCCGCTCACGCTGCAGGCCAAGAGAATCAAGGACACCAGGACAATCATCATAGCGTTCGAAGGACACAAGGTGCCCAGATTCGTGAGATATGGACATTCACTTTTGCAGTGCTCCCTTTACCGCAAGAACATCAATATTTTTTACGTCTGTGGAAAGCTGGGACATCGGTCTGACGTCTGTCTGAACCCAGCTGAAACCATCTGCAGAGGCTGCGAGATCAAGAACCCAGATAGCCTGCACCAGTGCAATCCAAGATGCAGGCTGTGCGACATTCACCATCCCATGGCAGACAAGGAGTGCAAAAACAGGTTCTTAGTGCCATACGTCGTCAGACGCAGACGTTGGGAAAGATCGCGAGCAGCCGCAGAAGCCCGGGATGCATCAATCACATCGAGTCCAGACATCAACGACAAGCAGCTTACTCCAGCCTACGGGACCCAGAGCATCCAGACTACACAAGAACAGGAAAGGCGGCCCCACTCCAGGTGGAGGTCGCGTTCCAGAAGAGGTTCTAGACCCAAGGCCCGCTCCCAATCACGGGGGCGCTCGAGCTCTCAAGGTCACCATCAGGGTGGGGATCAGCCAGGTCGGCACCCGAATGGCCAGCTGCCTGGCGTTCAGTTCGAGATATCGGCTTCACACCCAGGGAGGTCGCCTGCGGTTACATTGAAAGGCAGCTGGGCTGAGCGAGTGCGCAACGGCACGGCAGAGGTGATGACAGGTAAGCTGCCAGAGCATGATAGAATTGCACAGCTAGAGCAAGAAAACGCGAGACTTACAAAATCGAATGAGAGGTTATCAGCTGAGTTAAAGGAAATAAAAATTCTTCTCACTAAGCTAACCAGCGCGCAGTCTTCACAGCCAATGCCTCAGCCAGTTGATGTCCCTGTGGCTGAAAACGTGGGGGACTCGAGAACCACAAAAAAGAGGGCAGTCATGGTAGAACACGTGGAAGCCAACCAAACGACCATGTCAGATATGAAAGAGGTCTTTGACACGCTCAGCAAAGTAGTAGATAATTTTAGCGAGCAGATGGGCAGGCTACAATCAAGCGTGGCGGCACTGGAAGAGCATATGACTGCGCATTACAAAGGTCGAAGCATATCTGCACAACACAGCAAGGCCTCCTCATGCACCAAACTCACCCCTTCGGCCACCAATACTAGTGGTACCAAACCTGTCGACAGGTGCAGCATCAGGCTCTGGCCGCCCATGTAATAACCATGATGGCAGCGCTACGTGAAGCATTTCGTATCTGGCAATGGAACTGTAGAGGTTACCTTAAAAAGAAGGCAACCCTACAGCAGTATATCAGGAGCAGCCAAGAAAAGCCTCATATTATATTATTACAAGAGACCCTTTCACCACAAGCAACGTTGCGTGGATTCCGGCCTGTAATAGGGGATACTGAAGGGAGGGGAGTCTGCACCTTCGTATGCAACAAACTAACGCACGTAACCCACGACCTCAAGATAGAAGCAGGCCGGTTGGAACACGTTATGGTAGAGATCGTGCCAGGTACCAGCAAACGTCAGAGCATTTTCATTCTTAATATATACAGCAGTCCAAAGGAACAAAAGCAAGGGTTCAAGACGGTTCTAAAGAAAGCTGTTAATATCGCCGGGGAATGTCCACTCGTCATATCAGGTGATTTCAACACCCATCATCATACATGGGGTTACAAGTACAACACTGGGAAAGGAAATCGACTTTGGCAAAGTGCCAGTGAACTTGACCTCACCCTATTCACAGACCCCAGCCTCCCAACAAGGCTTGGTACATCTTGCTGCAGGGATTCTACCCCGGACCTTACATTTGTAAGGAACATCAAGAAGGCCCAGTGGATGAACCTTGCTGTAGACCTAGGGAGTGACCACTGCATTCTTGCCACTACCTTCTCTGTGGAGCGTAAAAAGCAGAGAGAATTTCACTTCACAGACTGGGATAAGTTCAGGAAGATAAGGATGGAAAGGGAACAAGATGGCCACAGACAAGGCTTGGAGCAGTGGGTCAAACAGATTAAAGATGACATCAAATCCGTCTCCTCCACCATTACCACAGATTTTCCGGTTGAAAGAATGGATAGCCGGCTCGCTCATCTTCTTGAGGCAAAGCAAGCACTACTGAACCGTTGGAAGGGTCAGCGCCTGAACCGAAGACTGAGGAAGAAGATAGCTGAGGTAAACAGATCAGTCGAGGAACAATGTCGCGCACTATCGAGGCAGCAATGGGACGAAATCTGCAACTCTGTCGATGGTCAGATGCGCAATGGCAAGACATGGAATATGTTAAAGCATCTCCTCAACGAAAACACCACCAAAACAAATCAAAAGCATGTTTTCGCTCGAATTTTGCATAAAGAGATAGGGTGCACTACAGAACAGCAAGTTCTGCAGCGGCTCGTGCATAAGTACCTCCCAATCAAAAGAGGATTGGCACCACTAAGTAGACAGTACCAGGGCAGGCCCAATCCAGATCTTGAGGGCGACTTTAACATCGAGGAGATCAGAAGAGCCTTGCATGATCTCAGAGGCAGGTCGGCCCCTGGCCCGGACGGTATATCAAACAAGGTCCTTCGTAACCTTGATGACGATTCAATTGAAACCCTGAAGGATATGATCAATGCAGCATAGAAAGAAGGCAGGGTGCCAGAGCAGTGGAAGCTGGCCAGCGCGATCCTCATTCCTAAGCCAGGTAAGCCCCCTAACTTGGACAACTTGAGGCCAATATCCTTGACATCATGTATCGGCAAGGTTGCAGAACATGCCATACTGCACAGGATAAACAAGTACTTGGAAGATAACGACATATATACACACAATATGGTTGGATTCAGGGCAGGGCTATCCACACAAGTTGCATTGGAGTTTATCAAACACCAGGTCATCGACAATGAAACCAGAGACGTGAGAGCCATTCTGTGCCTAGATCTAGAAAAAGCGTTTGACAACATCTACCACTCATTCATACTCGAAGCAATTTCCAAACTTGGTCTAAGGAAAGCCTTCTATGACTACGTATGGTCCTTTCTTACAGATCGCAAAGCCGTGATGAAGGTTGCAGATATCGAGACAGCAGCAATCGAACTAGAGGCAAGGGGCACGCCGCAAGGGGCAGTGATTTCACCAGTGCTGTTCAACATTGCCATGATTGGACTGTTAAAGAAATTACCGAGCATTGAAAGATTGAAGCACAGCCTCTACGCAGATGACACTACCATCTGGTGCACAGGTGGAAGCGAGGGGCAGATTTAGAGCGCTCTGCAAGAGGCGATTGACACCGTAGAAGAGTACTTCCTTCCGGGCTCAAGTGCTCCTCGAGTAAGTCAGAACTTTTACTGTATCGGACTGCACGCCGGGGACCGAAGCCCAGGGGATAGAAGCCGTTAAACCAGATAGACATCCACCTCCGTACAAATCAGTCGACCCTCTGGATGCCATCCAGAGGGTCGACTCCATCAAAGCCCTGGGCATGCTGATAGAGTCTACCGGCGCCAACAGCAAATCTATAGCCAAGTTAACTTGGAAAACAGACAGTGCGGTGCACCTCATACGCAGAGTGGCCAACAAAAGAAATGGGATCAAGGAAGACAACCTCATCAGGTTGATGCATGCGTTTGTTCTAAGTTGCTTCACGTACGAGGCAGCAATGCACAACTGGTCAAGAGCAGAGTCCGAGACACTGAATGTGCTCCTCAGGAAAGTTATCAAGAAGGTCCTGGGCCTACCCATACATACCAGCACCGAGCGTCTGCTTGAGCTTGGCATACACAACACGCTCGAAGAAATAGCAGAAGCCCAAGAGAGAGCACAGTTTGCAAGGTTATCTACCACAAGGTCGGGGCGAATGATCCTGCAGGAGCTGGGCCAACACCCAATAACAATCAGACGCAATTACAATGATATCCCTGACAACATCAGGGAGACTATCACGGTATCTCCTATACCGAGAAACATGCATCCAGAACACAACGTCGGAAGAAGAGTAGCGAGGGCCAGGACTATACTTCGTCAAGTCTCAAACGAGGAACGAGGGGTCGTATTTGTTGACGCGGCTTTCTACGCCTATGGGAAAGCGTTTGTGGCAGTGGTGGTCGATGGGGCTGGCCATGTCGTCAACTCAGCGACAGTCAGGACGAAAGACCCAATCATTGCGGAACAGGTGGCTATCGCCTTAGCACTCAAGATGAATAACATTGAAGTCGTCTACAGTGATTCCATGGCAGCACTACGGGCGTTCGCCAAGGGGACGGTCTCTGAACAAACGCTGTGAATACTGCAAGGCAAGAACATAACGCATCATCTTCTGAGTTGGTTCCCAGCTCACCTTGGGCAAATCAACGATTCCCCTCCCAATCTCAACGAAGCAGCACACGAGGCGGCGCGAGAACTCTCCAACCGCACCTCCCCGGGGATGCGTTCTACCGGTGAAGGGGATAACCGGGAAATTCTTACAACATATAACGAGCTCACTAAACATTTCTACCTGTCTAGAAGAATTTTCCATCCACCTCACAAAAATCTAACCCGGCCCCAAGCACTTACATTATGGTTTTCGCAAACGCGGATGTACCCTACTTTGAAAATGTTACACATCATGTACCCTGACCTATACCCAAGTAATCTTTGTCCACATTGTGGGGAAATAGCTTCATTAGAACACATGCTCTGGCAGTGCACCGAATTCGCTCATTTATCGAACATCACCTTTGCCAGATGAGAGGCGGATATCCGCAGCTCGTCCTTGGCAGATCAGCTCTGGGCTGTCCACCAAGCCCGCAAGGCGGCTGAGGAGCTTGGCATCTCAGTCCCCACGTGGGAGCTCCCCGCAACACAGTGATCTGTGTTTTGGAGGACCAAATAAAAGTTTATCCAATCCAATCCAATCCAATGCCGCACTGCTAAAGAAAGAGAAAAAAACAAGCAAATAGACTAACAAACAAAAGGAAGAAAGAAAGAAAGAAAGAAAGAAAGAAAGAAAGAAAGAAAGAAAGAAAGAAAGAAAGAAAGAAAGAAAGAAAGAAAGAAAGAAAGAAAGAAAGGGTCAGGCACGCACACGGCAAGGTTCACTCCCCGCCATTTTCGCGTTAGGGTAAATGCTGATTAAAGAAAGGACAAACTGGCCTCTGTTTTAATTTTAATGACCGGCTCCGTGAACACGCTTGTAACGTCAGAAATGGTTGCGATGATCTTTCGGCACTACATTGCAGCATGTGTGGTTGCAGACCACTTTCCCTTAGTACCGTGATTGTTGACAAGAACAGAAATAACGACAAGGGGGATTATCGAAGCAGAGAGGATTTGTAGAATATGGCTGAACTGCGTCAGCACGCCCTCCCTCGGTTTGAGTGAAAAAAGATTTTGTCCGTCCTGAGATCGTAAGGTTTACGCGCACGGCAATTGTGTGTTTTTTTATTCTCTTTTGTTAGTTTGTCACATTTCGTGAGCATGTCTATGCACGCTCTTCGAGATAAAGTTTTCTTGGAAGTAAGCGCTCTGCCTTGTCCCTTCTCTTGTCCTCTGTCTCACATATATTCCGTGCTACGTCATCAGTTACGTCTTGCCAACACGCCCACCATCATACTCTAGTCAAAAAAGTCACAGTTTCTTTAGAAAACTCACCACTCAGTCGTCTTCATTTATCGTGTATATTTAGGTGCTTTGCGCTGAGCGCTCCTCGGTAATGTATGCTAGCACATGTTTCTTACGACAACTAAGCTATTATTTTAAAAATCATTAGGGCAAATTGTTATGTATATGAATTGCGCATTGAATCGTTAGCTAGATATAAGTTATAGTTATTAGGTGGCATCCTCTGAAATTCACGTGGAATCGAGCTCGTACCACCGGATTTGATATGTGCCAGAAGTCTAGATTAATGTACGAATACTGACAAAACTATTGTTTGATTTCGCCACATTGTTCTTTCAACACGTTGAACAATTATTTCAGCTCACGCTGCACGCTCAAAGTGAGTGTGATCCAATTTGCCAGTAACGCAGTCTGATACAACCTTTCGAACAGTATTATTAGTCCGAAAGCGAGTTTTCGTTTGGGTCCACTTATTTCTACGCAAAAAAACCGCCATGGTTCCCTGGTGAACTACATAATGTCGATATACAAGACACGAAAATCGGGGAACCCTTAAGCTTCGCTTCAAGCTAGACCATGACAATGACGTTGGCGATGATGATAGTGATTGGATGCTGTACCTTTTCTAACAGGCTGGTATGGTGACACCATAGCATATACATATTTAAAAGAAAATCAACACCATCCCACTGGACAAACTCAGCACCGGAAGGATTATCATAAGTGCTTAAGGCTTACGTACAACTCACTCGGCTAAAGCGCCACCTTGTAAGCCTTTTTAGCATGTTATGGGGTAAAAACGTACGAGCAAGAGTTTCCAGGTTCCTTGAAAATCGAAGAAAAACGCAATGCTGTTGTGATCGAGCGCGTCATAAAAGCACAGTATGTTTCGTTTTTTTGGTCATTTCGAACAATAAGCAGGCGTTCAAGACGGTTCCATTCAACTTGCAAAGAAAACGACTCTGGACGTCAGCGGCCGCCAGAATGAGACACAAAAAAAATAAAAAAGACGTCGGCCAGGTTAAGATCTCACAATGCGTAAGAAGCCTGCACGCCGACCTTGGAAATAAGACAGGTGCTACAGATAAAGACAGGTGCTGACAGGCAGCATCCTCGGGAAAAACAAACTCCGTCGGTTGCTCACGCTGGACGAAAAAAATAGATAGAATAATAAAACTATATAAGTCCCTATGCCTTTGTTTTTTTGCGCGAGCAATGACGGTGAGCGCGGTCGGGTCTCCTTGTTTGGAAATTGACCACAACTGGACAGGAGAGTGAGCCAATCATGTGACACAATGTGAGCTACGAGACGTTCGCGCTATTCTCGACTTGTGCCTACGCGGATTTCGAGCCCAATTGCGCGTAAGTTTGCTCGTTTTGTCGCTCCTCTGTAAACGTTGTCTGAAATAATATTTCGTGTAAATATTTTGGACAACAGAATCTCTTTACACGCCGTGACTGATTGCAAAGATGATTTATCACCTTTTCTCGCATATGTGTTGCTTCGAACAAGCCATAATGTCCAACCTGTTGACGTCAACTGCAGCATTGAACTGTATTCTTACAATTTATATCACGGGCGTTTTGTTAACAATGAAAAAAAAATTCACTGAAGTCACTGACAAATCACTCTCACTTGCAAAGCATACAAAGGGGGCTACCATGGTTCATTTATATGAAACCACTATGTCCATATATCTGAGTACTTCGCATGAAGCAGCCTCGCCGTATTTTATCAATATGCCACCTTTCCTAATAGATGACACTGATTATCTTGAGGTGGGCGACTCAGTTTTTTTATTACTCTGCCAAAAATACGGCACTTTTGTTTAATTTTTTGCAATATAATTACACTAAAATGAGACAATAATAGAACGAACGTCGGTGAAATAAACTATTAAGTAGAACGAACTTTTTAATATCCCCCTCTGAAACACCATCGGAAACGATGCAAGGGCATTTCTGTTTTACGCCATTCGTGCAGAGCGCATTTGATTTGTACAAACGTATTTTGCAATACCATCCAATTTTCCTCATGTCACATCGATGAGAAATTGTCTGAAATGCTGGGCTCAGACAGCGCTTTGAATATTGAGTTGTTATGTCCCTTCTGATACGCATGGAGACATGCACCCCCCTCTCCACGGAAGAAATTGTAGCGAGAGACCTACCCAAGGAAAAAGAGGAGAAGGAACAAATAACTCTTGTACAGAAGCCCCATCACATAAGTTAGGAATATAAGTAAATGTACCAGCACTTTTACCACTTGGCGGCACTTAATTGGCTTACTACCACATGAATATATGCTTCACTGTGTTTGACTACATCAATGCAACCAAAAGATTACCGTGCCAGTGAACCCTATCCTTTTCAGACCTTTAGTTTATAATTCGTAGCTATGTCCGTCAGGAACAAGAGATGGTTTGGCCGCTTGCTCAGCAACCATTTGTGTTTATTGGCAGTTTTATCTCTAAACTAGTCTTTCAGATTTGCTTTAATTTATATTTTAAATTCATTTAAGTATCATGCCGCCCGGTTCTTGGTCCATCCCCCTATGTGGGTGAGCGCCATTTATCTGAGGTCACCAGCATCAGCAGCCAGAATTTCAGCAAAAGCAGCATTGCTGTACTTGGAAAAAGTGAAGTTCTTCGCTTTGCAGCAGAGTGCTGCGCCATATAGAAGGTTTGTGAGAGCTTGACCTGCAGGGCTCAATTCATGAGCAGTTGCGTGCTAAGTGCGCAAGTGCAGCAAAAAATACTGCATTCACCATCATCATCATCACCATCATCAGCATCAGCATCATCAGCATCATCAGCCTGACTACGTCCACTGCATGACAAAGGCCTCTCCCTTGTTCCACCAGACAACTTGGTCCTGTGCTTGCAGCTGCCAATTTAGACCCGCACACCTCTTTGCCAAGTTCAGGTTCCAATGGCGGCCTGTCCGGATCCAGAGATTCTTAGCACCCCCTGCATTCTTCAAAACATGCTAAACAAGAGAAATGTTCCCATTCGCATAAGCCGCACTGCAAATAACAGGGCTCAAAGTTAATTTCAACGGCTACCGTTTTATCTTGCTCCTGGGACAAGTCACAACATGGCTATTTCACTTGAGCCTATTTTACCTTTAGCTTACCTCTTCCTCGAGTCTCTTGAAGTGTGTTAAAATGTAGTTTCATTCTAGAGGCTATGCCATAATGTTTTCCTTGCAACGGAGTGATGTTTATTGTGGTACATACATGTGCCATAGTGTATGTGCCCTATTACTGGAATGTTATGAAACCTTTGTTTTTAGCAGCGAATCTCCTTATAGCGGCACCCGTTCGTCCCTCGCAGTCGTAGTCGTAGTGTGTAACCAGTGTTACATTTTGACTTCCAAGGTGGTGCCGGTGGGAGATTTTTCTTGTGCGTTGTTGAACAATAAAAAAAGATTCTCAGCGTGCGCGTTAACTAAAAGCCGAATTCTCCTGTCTCTCATTCCCCCTTAGCAGCCATTGGCATGTACATTGAACACTATCTGACAAGAAAGGGTTGCTACGTTATACTCGCTGGGCATAACCTCCTTGATTTTAGAAAGGTTTAGCGAGCGTTGGGCCGCAGTGCCATGAATACAGTGAACTAGTATATACCATGAACTCGAGGTGGTTAAAGGTGGGAAGTGGACCCGAAGCGCAAGCCGTAAGAAAGTGTGCGTGTGCCACCTCTCGTTTAGTCCTTGGAATGTCCACTGAATGGCGGTGCTTCTATATGGGGATTATATGATCAAAAGATGCGAGATAGTGGTACTTGGAATGTTGAATAGATGGACGAACGGACACACAAACAGATGTATGGATGGACGCATGAACGGACGCCGGGGCGGATGCATGGACGAACGCAGGGACAGAAGCACGAACATACGCACGCACGGACGGGCGGATGGACGCAGGGACTGTCACACAGATGGACGCATGGACGGACGGAAGCAAGAACGAATGGACGGACGAATGCTTCGCCCCACTCATCATCATTCACTTCGTGGACATGCTGCCAATTTTTTGTACATAGCGTAAATAAACTTTTTCTAAACACATACAAAGAAGCTACAAGCAGTTATTTCCCTCCATTGAACGTGTGTCTCATGTTCCCTAGCGGAAAATATAGGTATTTTCCTTTGTCAGTTCATCGTAATCTATAATTGCATTGCAGAAAAACGAAACAGATATTGTTCGAAATAAAATAAAAACATGTGTAGGTGAAACTGCTAAGCAATGAGACAGGTACAGGAGCTCTGGTCACTTAGCAGGTGACGAGTCACCCTGATGTACTGCATGACACGGGTTCTACCCATAGCCATGACATTTATTTATTCATGAAGTGGGGCAGGGGCTTGAGGGAAGGTGCGACAGACGTAGAGAAAGAGAAGAAGGAAGCAGGATTTGGAGCTAACCGTTGATTCAGTAAAGACGTGTCCAGCTCTACGATCATGGTTCCTTGCTTTTAATATTTGGTGCTGAATTCCGGGAGTGGTCATTCCGCGACAACAACGTCGTTAGCCGAACGTCCTTGGAAGGAGCGTGAGACTGTCAGGACCAGCGTCTCACGGAACAAAAAGTTCCTGACAGGACTAATGTGAGACTCAGACACCGAAGCACGCGAGGTGAACAGGCCAGTCACTGTTTTGATCATCAGAGAAGCTCAGCTCTGCCAATTGCACAAGTACATCGTCAAAGTAACTGAAGACGAGGCAGTTGACCAGGAACTCGAGGATGCTGCACGCTACCGTGAAAAGATCATGTGTAATCCCTGAAGGGCAGTCTTTCCTCACTGAGCGCAGATTGTTTCTTCGCCTACGTGGCACGTGCTATTCGCCTCTTGATTACGTCAGAGATGCCAGCAGAAGCTATGAGCAACCTGGTTTCTGTAAAAACGCCGACGCTTATGACAGCACTTTCGATAACAAAGAAAAGGACACAAGATGCTCTGAAGGCTCAATTCACTGCAGGCCCTTCTCGGGCCCATGCAGGAGTGGGTTGGAAAAAAAAAAAGAAAACATATATACATAGCAATGCCATCTATACAGAGCAATAAGTATTAGCACATGCAAACGACAAGAAATATCAACATTATGCAGTAAACAAGGTACATACAAACAGCAAACAGAATTATAATAACTGTGCATGTTGAAGGGGTAGCTTATGGAATACTAATGACACCAATTATTTTACCATTTTAAATCTAAATTCTGAACGCTGCTAATGCCTTCATCGACAGTTGAGCCGTTTACAACATCAGCAGGCTGTGCATTCCAATGGGAAATCGTGTGTGGAAATAAAGAATATTTGAAAGTGTTATTATGACAGGGTTTTTGGCGTATGGTTTCATTATGATTCAACCGAGCTGAATGTCTGAATGGCTTACGAATGTATGTCGCTTGGGGTACTCGACAAGATCCCCAATACGAGAGGAAATGATAGAACTTCCGCCTGCTTAAGTTTAGGTGCGTGGTAAAAAGAGCCCAGTAGGGCAAAATCAGTCGGAGTAAGCTTTACGAAGAGGCTCGTAATCACATCTTCGTTTGGGCTCCCAAAACTGCGTAATTACATTTTCAGTAAGTGATCGCTAATTCTAGACCAATGAATTTGGTCAACCGGGGCATATTCGGACATATTCTCGGGCACGGGCAAGTTGATTATTGTTGAACGGCACCGAAATCTCGTCGATTCGGTCACGTTTGGCCGCGGTAGCCTGATTCGGACGATCCTCAAAGCGCGCTGGGCATGCAGCGCCACAGGTGTGCCGCGCAAAGGCGCAAAGATGGTGTTGGCGAGCGACAGAATCATCCACGCGCTTTCGGAGAGGCATATTCGCGCCATCCAAATGATCCCAACAATCGATTTGTGGGTGACAAAGCCTTCGGCAACTGTGACAGCGGCTGTGACGATTAGTCGGTGACCAAGCCTTCAGCGGCTTTGACAGCGGCTGTGACAAGCCTTCAGCGGCTGTGAATTCAATGTGCGCACTTCTTGGGTGGTATTTATGCCCACGTCGATAGTGACTGGGTTAAAATCTTCGACAAGCTGTGGTCTCGTTTTCGCCGCTCGCTTTCAGTATGCGAATTCGCCATCCACGATTATGCGCTGTCGAGCTATAGGTTCATTCACCAGCAGGTGCGTTGCTCAGCAGTTTTGTTTAGAGTCTGAACACAGGTGACACAAGTTCCTTCACAACCGCGAGCCATTGTAGATGAATTAGTGTACAACACAATTACTTAATGTTCTCTCAATATTTTCAATAGTTTGGCATTCCGTTGATTCGGACATTCTTTCCGGTACCTTGTAATACGAAATAACAAGTTTTGACGGTATTTATATTAGAGAGGGGAGGGGGGAATCTAGATATCACTGTTTCTATTCTTCTTTTTGCATGAACTGTCTGAAAGTCCATGGGTTGCCTCGACTTTCACAGACTTTTACTCATTCTCTAATCAAACACAGCCACATCTAACAATCACGGGACACGTGACAAGGTGTACGAGAATACTCGTTCCAGTCCTGCAAAAGGCGAATATGTGCTATTGGGTAGGTTTTGTAGCAGACATACGATCGGCATCAAAAAGTGAGGTCGAAAAAATAGCTCAGTGTGTAATAGACAAATTAGGCGAACAAAATGGAAGCAGGTAAAGCTATCGCAAAGGTAACATCTCCGCTTTTGTTTTGCGCAAAGCAATGACATCCGAGTTTACCCATTGTAAGGGCTGCGCATGCATCTTTCGAGTTTTCCGCTTCGCGTATTGTTACTTTGGTACATTCGGTTCTTCCAGCCGTCGCCGAGGCTTTTAATGTCTGCTACAGCTGGTCAACGCCCGCAAAAAACAACCCCACCAAGAGGCAGCATCGTGAGTCAAGCTCATCTAGAACACACGTTTTTGTGTATTGTTAATTATGAGCTAAAGGAATTTGTTATGTTAATGCCCGTTCAGATGCAGATGTTTGATCGGGGATCTTCCTTACGTGTTATCTATAGTGTATGCATGTGTTCAGACTATTTTCTCAATTACAAAAGCTACGTTACTCGAGTGCGCGATTCGGCGAAACTCGAGAGCTAACATGTCATTTCAGTTCGACTGCGAAGGGATGTCGAATTGAAAGAAAATTTTTCAACATCAGTAATAGCATTTCATGTACCCAACAATCGATGTTTGATAGAAGCACCATAACTATCTGAAGCATTAAAACACTATAAAAAACACTATAGCCATCTGAAGTTAGAGACCACTAAGTCTCACAAAACATTGCATTTCCCTGAAGTCTTAAACCACCTTCACCAGAATTGCACAGTGCGTACAACTAGCACGTTTTAAAAGAGGTCGGAAATCTCATATCTATAGGCTAACTGCAGGGGCAGCTAGAAAATTCAGTCTTTTTGTCTTGCTTGGTGTGGTGTCTAAACTTTTTGACGCTACTGTTCATTTTGACCATAGGTGGTTCCTTAAAGGGGACACCAAAACAAAAGGCTATTTTTGGTTCCTCGTCAATTACCCTTCCATAATATTTTGGTCACCACTCATGTCACATGAAAGCGGTTGCTTGGGGAGAGTTCATGCAAGAAAAGACATGCGGGTGGCGGCACCACTTCGAGATCTCACTGTCAACTCACCGCGAAGTCACAGTGTCTAAAGTGTTCACTAAGGTTTTTATTGCTTATTTTAAAAGTCAGTGTGTCCCTTGTACATTAGCTTAAGGTTGCTAGAAGGCGAAAGGCACGTTTTTATTTCTTCTCAGACGATTGTATTGATTATTTTGCATTGTATTATCAATGTATTCATTGTATACTCAGTCTCTGTACTGAATGTATTGCTATGAGCCTCGTTTTGCACTAGTTGAGGTATCGGAAGCGTTGCAAGCGTTCTGCCCTTGATGTACCTCCAGGATCGCCCCAAATATGACCGAACGATGCCACGTGACGACGATGTGATATGACTTCATGCGGCATCACGTGATGAGCTGTCATGACGACGCTTAAGGGTGACGTCATCCTACGATGATTTTTCGCGCCGCTCTTGTTGGTGCCACCAGTGGCGCTTACACTTGTTACGTTAGACACCCAGAGCTTTTGCCTTAACAAGACCCGATTGGTAAAACTGAAGTGAATTGCGCTCTAAAGAAGTCAGTCACTTGCGAGTATTTGCTAAAGCCTCCCGAGCTTATCCCGCCAAAATACGATTTAGAACAACAAGTCAATGGAGGAAAAATTTTATTCGAATGACACTAATCTCAAAAATAAAACCATGGCTTCATTCTCGTCTAATACTCGCCGCATGGGATGGAGAAATTGACAATTAGCAAAAGCAGTCAACGCGTTATCTACCAGTATAAATTCATTTTTTCGGGGCGTGTGCCCATAAAAGCAACGACTGTTAGTGTTCTCTTATGCAGTGACTCATCCTCGATATATATGGCACAAGACAATTCAAGGGGCTCTTAGAGAATACAGCCTATGACCCAGGTTTCGACCATGATCGACAACACAGCAGTACCTATAGCAACCAAGAAGCCCCATCCATTAAGTGCTGAAATGGCCTAACTTATATGCTGATTAACATTGAACAGTCACTGCTTTCATACTTCTACGTCCAACGATTTAATGAATACCTACGTCTTTCATTTCAGAGAAGGATGCAGTGGTTTCTCTGTCTGGCAACGGTTTTTCTTGCCTTTATACATGGTAAGAACTACGACTTGAAAGTATGATCGAACAAAACTTTTCGTGCTCCCCAACTTCGGTTTCACGAAAGAAGGAAAATTATTCGATGGGCTCATATCTTTCCTAGACATAGCGTAGCTAACAAGCTCTGAGCCAAGAAAAGGACAGGGGAGTTGATTTTTTGCGTTTTAATGGCAGAGTAATGATTATTGTCCAAATTGAAATTAGCTAAAGCCAATAGGAGATAACCCTTTTCAGTGGTGCGATGCGAACCTGCAACATAAAATTACGGCTCCAAAGTCATATTCAGTTAAAGCTTCAGCTACAGAACATCCCCAAATTAATTGCATTATTATGGTTTTTAGTTAACTTATCTATACACCACACTTCCACTGACTAGTAGACGTAAAACTTTGCAAATGCAATGACCATACGTATGAAGCGAACTTTACAAGCACACGCAGAAATTTGTCGCCAAGTAAACAATACATCCGCAGGAGCTGCAAGCTACGACGATGACCCCACTTACATGCAATGCACAGAATGGCCCGACAGAGGGCCGTGCAACGGAACCCTATATCGGTATTACTACAACTTCAGAAGGGGGCTGTGCCGCCTCTTTATCTACGGTGGATGTCAAGGCAACGACAACAACTTCAGAAGTCGCAATGAATGCATGCGCCAATGCGCAGGAGGTGAGGTTTGTTTGTGTGGGCGTGTGTGTGGGGGTGTGTGCGCGCGTGTGTGTGTGTGTGTGGGCGTGTGCGTGCGCGCGTGTGTGTGTGGGCGTGTGCGCGCGCACGTGTGTGTGTGGGCGTGTGCGCGCGCACGTGTGTGTGTGGGCGTGTGCGCGCGCGCGCGTGTGTGTGGGCGTGTGAGCGCGCGCGTGTGTGTTCGGGCGAGTGTGTGGGCGAGTGCGCGCGCGCGTGTGTGTGTGGGCGAGTGTGTGGGCGAGTGTGTGGGCGAGTGTGTGGGCGTGTGTGGGCGTGCGTGTGCGTGCGTGCGTGCGTGTGCGTGAATCCTATTCCTATTGTGTTTCTTCTGAAAGGCTGTTCATTTTGTGCCTCCACATTCTAAAATGATCCAGCTTTACTTCCTACCGTTGCTGACCTGGCCCAATACATGATCTTTCTTCAATTCTACGATTACCATCCATTCTCTTAAGCACGTATTTTGGTGACGAAACAATGATTTTGATTTAAATACAGCGCTGTTTGGCTCCAGTGTCAGTACTGCTATATTTATCACTTTTTCATTAACACGTTTTGGCATAGAGGAGCCACGAGAGAGACCAGGGTCGATGATATCGAGAGATTAATCTTCGAAAAGCGCACCAAGGTGGCGTGATTGTGAGTGGAGCACAAAATTTTGTCGTAATTATTACCTGTTTGGTATACAATTGAATTTCGTCGTAATGGTTACCTGTTCAGTATGCAACTTACTTTAAAAAAATAGAATACCAACTAGCCCAAGTATCTACTCTTTTGCAATACAACTGGCATTAACTGGTAACCATTAGTGTAATGGTTACCAGTTTATAATACAACTGATTTTCGCGGTTGCGGTTACCTGCTTAGCATACAACTGGCTTTCCTTTCTTCCCAGTGATCACCGCAAGAGTGTGCCGACTCAGGCCCGGTCCTGGCCCGTGTCATTCCAGGGTGATCCGCTACTACTACCAAGCAAAGACGCATTCGTGCCGACCTTTCGTGTACTCCGGTTGTGGCGGGAACCGCAACAACTTCCGTTCCAGCGACGAGTGTAGAATGCAGTGCTTCGGCAAAGAAGCGCACGAAAAGGGACGGTAATTAAGGGCCAGATGCAAGGAAAGGCCGGGGGGTTAACCAGACGGACGTCTGGTTTGCCACCTTACACTGGGGAAATGCATAAAGGAGGGGAAAGACACAAAAGAAGAGAGTTTAAGGTGCGCTAAGGTGCGCTACAGGCTTAAGCGCTTAAGGCTTAAGCGCTTAAGCCTTAAGCGCTTAAGCCTTAAGGCTTAAGCGCTTAAGCGCTTAAGGTGCGCTACAATCTCCCGTAACACCGCTCGTACTTGATGGATTCTGATAATTTCGCAGTGGTCTACTCGTAAGGCAATAAGCTCTTTTTATTTGACGATTGTATGGAAAAGTGTTGCAAGGCATTTTAAGGCGCTGAGCACCTATGTAATCAAGCCGAGAAAAAAATTATGTCACCGACAGCAGAATAACTGCAAGAACTAAGGCAAAATAAAAGCCCTAATTTGTTGTGAAAGTGCCCAGAATACATGCAGTCCGGCAAATACAAAAGAAGTTCAGCCACACAGCCAGGATGGTCATTACACATTCATTGGAGTTTGTGAGAAAAACACGTGTGAACAGACGTTCTGATGCTGCTAGTTGGTAATGATGCCGAAGTCAAGGAAAGGATGAAGCTTGAACAAATGAAAAAATTTGTGAACGTGTGGTGCTGCTAGAGCCAGTGCATCGATAAGCGGAATTTTATTCAACGCTGCAAGTGCCTAAGTCAGTTCCGGCCTTGAGTAAAATTCCACTTATCGAAGCATTGCTGCAACTGCCAAAAACCGTTGCAGCAATGAATGTTGTTCAGAGTTGCAACTTTGCAGGGGGAAGACCGCTTGAAGAAATGTTCGCTTCAGAGAAATTTGTCTTCACGAATTTCGTGTGGGCTATAGAATAGTCATCCGCCGCATAAATAAAGCCCTTTCTTTCTTGTTGGTAGTGGTTGGTAGGTATCAAAATCTTTACCGTAGACACAGGGTAAGAGATAGTGGCTTTGCCAAGAACAGCCAGAGATGAAGAGAAGCCGGAAGTGCTAACGAGAAAGTGCTCCGCTATTGTGCTTTCCTAAGTGAGCAAACGTAACACTGCCACTGGTGCAACACTAAAAAAAAAAAAGAATACACCCTTGCTTCATTTACTTCAGTTGAGTGGCAGAAAAAAAAAACACCAGGTCTGCATGAAACGCGCAGAAAAGTCACAGCCAAAGCATGAAGAGGGGCCTTTCAGAGCCTATTCTAAACGCTCTTTGGATACATGCTAGAAGCACACTTGCTGGATACCCCATACGCCATAAATAATCATGTCTGTGTAGTATATGTCGGCATTCACTTTGCTATCCTTCGTCATTTTTTGAAAGAGCGTTGCATCTGCTGAACACTTTTTGTGTGATTGTTGTGCGAATTTTGCATTGAATTCACTCGATGGCAACGATGAAGAACTACGCCTGTAGTGGGTATGTGCCACAGGTATGACGTAATGAACAGCAAGCTTTTGTAATGTGATCGAGCACTGGGCGACCCACTTTTTGCGCAATTCTCATTGTGTGGCACATCCATGGTTGTTCCTTTGCTTTTTAAAACAATTCAGTAGTCATAATATGGTCCTTGAATACTTTTGGTCGTATTAACGCATTTCCTTTCCCGACATCAAGCCTGTCTAAGGCAAGTTTGCGAAGGAGTCCCAAGTACTGGCGTGACTCAGTGGTAGAATACTGGCCTGCACGCAGTGGACCTGGGTTGTAGTTCCACTTCAGTCTGTTACCACATGTCATTGGTGTCTTTTCATTGAGTTATTTTTATTATTTCATGTGATGGTGGTTACGGCCAACGGCGGCGGATAACTACGGCACCACGCGTGACCAATGTTGTGATTTCATAACAGCTTTTGCTGTAAAAAGCAAACCAGGTGCATATTTCAAACTGATTTACTTCTAACAATTTTATTCCCAGGAAATAAATTTTCAATATATATATATATATATATATATATATATATATATATATATATAGGCAGGCATGGTGGTTGATTGGCCGTAGCGTTGTATATAGTCCAGTAGATCCTCCGTGAGCGGTCACAACGTGGTTTATTTCGACGTTTCGGCCTAGAGTCTGGCCTTCAAAGGCCAGACTCTAGGCCTAAACATCGAAATAAACCACGTTGTGACCGCTCACGGAGGATCTACTGGACTCATATATATATATATATATATATATATATATATATATATATATATATATATATATATATATATAGCTTAAGCAAAAGAAGAAAAGCATTTTGGCAGCCGTTCCACATACAAATCCTGTACCATGCGCTGATGACCTTTTAGACTGTTGACTCTCGGGTCATCACCCACTCACCACCTGTATAATAAACATTTTTTCTTTCCATAGCTCTGAAACAATAGCTCTTTTAAAAAAAACAGCATGGTCGACTAACTGACCGTACAGGCATCCCAAAGGGATATTTCTCAGCAGAAAAAAAAGGAACCCGAGGCTTTAAAAAGGGCTCTAAAACGACATCTCAAAATACGAAGAACGAACGTGCTATTTTATCCCGTCGTTTCCCGTCTTTGTTGCAACATTCGTGACGTCAGCGGTTTGTTCGTGACGTCAGGATGAAATAAGCTCCTGATTGGCCAATATAATACGAAATATATTTGTTGGGGATTGTCTCCTGTACATAAGCTTCGTCGCGCAGTCGCATGTTCGTTCGGCCTTGTCTCACAATGACCATCGTGCGCGATAAACTAAATTTTAACTTCGTTTTCTACGTTCACGATTGTGAAAGCCGATATAGCAACGTGCTGTCAGAAAGGTCCAAATAATGATTAGCTGTATGTTTAGTGCGAAGGACCTTGCACGCGTTTTGTGAAGAAATAAGGCCCGAGGAGGAGATGGCGCCTGTAGGGAGGGTAGGCAAGGCGAGAGAAAAACCGCTTTCCCGTATTTGAACACAGTGCGGTTTAGGGGCCCTTTAAAATGCCCCAAAAAAGATACGCACAGCTGCGCAAAGGTGAAAAAAAATGGCGCAGCACTGTACGAACATATATAGAGCACGCGAAGTTCCTGGTCTTACCTCCTGCGCGGACGCATGATGCGACAGTGATGCCGCGAGGTTTCGAATTTCTGCAAAGACGCGAACACAATGCAGCGCAACTCTTTCATCGAGTATGACAAGTTTGAATGTGGCACTAAGAAGTACACACCTAGCTGCAATCTTGTAGGGGTTTGGTATCAATAATGGTATTTTTTTTTTCGCATTTAGATTTCAATATCTGAAATCGTTCATAGGATGCCGCACGTAAATGACTAATTTGAATGCGGCTTCAATATTGCGACATCTCAGAAGAGGCTAAAGGCAATGCATGAAACTCAATCATCGTCAAGAGAACGTAATAACTATTGAGACTACGACTAAGTGTTTTGTTCCCTAATTTTTTTTTACCTATATTGATGAGAAGTAACCGACAATGACACCATGGAAAGTATGGGAGATGTTATTAGACGTATTTGTAATGTATATGTGAAGGAAAAAAAGTGACGAAAAAGTATCATGCCAGTGGCAGTTACTGAACCTCGACCTTCGAATAACGTATCTAATGCTCTACCCCTGAGCTACGGTGTGTGTGTATTAACCTATGTGTGTGTGTTAAACGTGGGAGCGTCAGTCAGCGCCACCTGTTCTCCTTACGACGAGTCAGGAACACTCGTCTCGCCTGTTGGCACCACGTAGCACGCGATATTATTGCAAGCTGGCAGCTAACCCATAATTGAATTTATCGCATACTTTCTGAAGGCATCACAGCTGGTAGAGCGACGCCCTCTTTGTAAATGAAGGAAATAATAGTAAATTTAAGAGCTTGTTTTCTTCGCTACCATGCATGTTCCAAGCTTGACGGTGACTGGGCAAAAAAACTACACGGAGTGTGCCAATAAATGCTCTCAAAAACAATTTCTCCGCATTTGAATGAATTAAACTATTCTGCTTGTCGGAGTACAGGGACTTGAAGCCGTCACCTGCGCCACCCTCTAGTCCGTTACGGAGGGTATGAAACTGCCGGACCAGTTCAATAATAAATATATTTCTCTCATGTCTCTCTCTTCACCACATTTTTTATCGGTGTTAAATGTTGTCCCTTTTCAATTAAGCCCTGAGGATTATAGCACCCATTTCTCTTTGTTTCTTGTCGCGTTTTTATAGCCCTGGAAATAGCAACGAAAAATACTGCAGTTAAAAATACTGCTTCATCAGAAAATTCAAATGCACTCACCGCCACGGAAAAAGCACGTTTTGAGCGTCAAAGCTGACCGATCTTCAAGGCCCGAGTTTTGTGCATGGTGGATGTGTCAATTTAATTTATAGCGGCACGATAGCCTATCAGTGTAAGGAAAATCATTGCACGTTGGAGTTAGCTAATCAAGAAGGCCCATTGAAATTGTTAGGGTACTAGCGTTAGTAAAGAGCTGTTTCTACCATGTATATCGCATTATGGGCACAACTGAGCAGAAATAAAGCGGGCAACAGCTTAAAATAGACTTTTCATGACATAAAGGCTGCCGATTAGTCATCAGATCCGAACTGACGAACACTATCCATTGAATGCGGAAACTTAGAGGGAGTAAGTTAAAATCAGTGAAACTTTGAAAGAAAGATTCAACAAAGCGGACTCAAAGGCATTGTCAAATTGTCAAGCTCAGACGCATGACAATCAATAACAATGCGTGAGGGAGCTAGAGTTGAAGAAATTGTTTTTTTTTTTTCCAATTTGACATGGAACACATTTCTTTTATTGACAATGCTAAGATACGTCATTGCACAAATACTTCGTCGGCAACTCCTATGGGTTCTTGAAATTGGTTAAACATACCTGTTTATCGCAATAATACAAAGCGCAACGGAACGAAAAAAACAAAACTCAAACTGCACCCTCATGGCAACACCAGGACTGGAGTTCCTCCGCTACTGCATCTCCCAAAGCCAAATGATGCAGAGCAGGCAATCACACCAGCAGCCTCTTTATTCAATGCAGCAGGAGCGGTCTTTCTTGCTCACTAGGGGTGGTAACATAGATAACGGTTCATATGCATTGTTTTAGAAACGTGCGTCTTCGAGGAGTGGATTTCATAAATATGTGGTCAAACATACTGCGTAAAGAAACAAGCAAGCTGTTACGTTCGAAAAACAATATACCTTAGATAAACACTTGC